TGACCACACCACTGCACTCCAGCCTGGGCGACAGAGCTGCGACAGAGACAGACTCTGTCTCAAAAAAAAAAAAATGAGTCACACAGACCAATGAATATATACATACATACATATCAATGCATTGTACAATTTAAAAGGGTGAATTTTATGGGTATGTGAATTATATTTCAATAAGGCTGTTTTAAAAAAGAAAAGCAGGTTCAAGCCTTTGCCATGTTAAAAATCTCTCTCAACCCTTTATCACCCTGCTACCACCTCTTTCTGTTCTCCCCTTCACAGCTAAAATTGATTTTAAATAATCTACGTAAGCTTTTCCACTCTCTAACCTCAACTACACGAAACCTAGCTCCTCCCCCAACCATTCTATCAAAACTGTTCTCACATAGGTATCAAATTGAATAACCTCCTTAATATCAAATCAACAGACTCTCAATAATCTTTGTTTTGCTCAACTTTTCAAAGCATTTAAAGTACGGCTTTCCTTGTTTTAGGCCAGGGTCTCACTCTGTCACCCCATGCTGCAATGCAGTGGCACAATCACAGCTCACTGCAGCCTCAACCTCCCAGGATCAAGCGATCATCCCACCTCAGCCTCCTGAGTAGCTGCGACCACAGGTATGCACCACCACACCTGGCTAATTTTTTTTTTTTTTTTTTGCAGAGACACCAGTCTCCCTATATTGCCCAGACTGGTCTCAAACTCTCCGGCTCAAGCAATCCTCCCACCTCAGCTTCCCAAAGTGCTGGGATTACAGGCATGAGCTACTGTGTGGAGGCTTTCCTTTTTTTAAAAAAATATTAACTCATATTTTTTCTTGAGAGTTGATTGTGAAGTATAACTTCCTTTAAAAATGATGCCAGGCCAACACGGTGGCTGACACCTGTAATCTAGCACTTTGGAAGGCCAAGACAGGCAGATTGCTTGAGCCCAGGAATTCAAGACCAGCCTGGGCAACATGGCAAAATCCCATCCTTACCAAAAATAAAAAAATTAGCCAGGTGTGGTGGTATATGCCTGCAGTCCCAGCTACTCAGGAGGCTGAAGCAAGAGGATGACTTGAGCCCAAGAAGTGGAGGTTGTAGTGAGTTGTGATGGTGCCAGATCCCATTTTGGCTTCTATGACATTTTCTCATGATTTGTCTACATCTCTGAACACTTAGGAATTTCCTTTACCAGCTCTTCTTCTATCTGGCTTTAAATGTTCTTCACGGCCTATTTCCAGAATTATTTTATGTCAACAAACTCTAATTTGGTGTTATCTAAATCAAAGAATTCAGATACCGGCTGGGCGAGATGGCTTGCTGGGCGAGATGGCTCACGCCTGTAACCCCTGCACTTTGGGAGGCTGAGGCGGGTGGATCACAAGGTCAGGAGATCAAGACCATCCTGGCCAACATGGTGAAACTCTGTCTCTACTAAAACTACAAAAAAATTAGCTGGGTATGGTGGTGTGTGCCTGTAATCCCAGCTACTCCAGAGGCTGAGGCAGTAGAATCGGTTGAACACGGGAGGTAGAGATTGCAGTGAACTGAGACTGTGCCACTGCACTCCAGCCTGGTGACAGAGCGAGACTTTATCTCAAAAAAAAAAAAAAAAAAAAAAAAAAAATTTAAAAAAAAAAAAAAAAAAAAAAAAAAAAAAAGAATTTAGATACCACTCATAATATAGCCTGCTACTTTGTACTCCAAATCCACATTCACAATTCCACAGCAGATGATTCCACCTGGATGTTTCACAGGTAACTTCCACTAAGTATGTTCAAAAGCTAAAATAATGTTTCTCCTCAAATTTGCTTCTTTCTGAATTCCCTGTCTCAGTATATTTTACCATTGTCTATTCAATCACCCAAATTAAAATCCAAGTCATCTTATTCTATCATTTTCCCCTCACTCCCCATATCCAATTGTTGCTGAATTCTATGAATTCTACTTTCTAAATATTTCTATTAACCTCCTCCTCCATATTCCCTCTAACACTGCCTTAGTTTGGACCCTTATTTCTCACTTCAATTATTGCAAAAACCTCCTAACCAGTCTTTCTGCATCCATTCTTACCTTCTCTCCATCCCTTCTGAAATCCTTACTCTACAATTCCATAATGATCTTTCTAAAATAGAAATCTTGGCCAGGAATGGTGGTTTCCACCTGTAATCCCAGCACTTTGGGAGGCTGAGGCGGCTGGATTGCCTGAGCTCAAAGTTCAAGACCAGCCTGGGGTGACAAAGCAAAACCCCATCTCTACAAAAACACGCAAAAAATTAGCCAGGTGTGGTGGTGTACACTTGTGGTCCCAGCTACTCGTGAGGCTGAGGTGGAGGAATGGTTGGAGCCTGGGAAGTTGAGGCTGCAGTAAACCATGATGGAGTGCAATGAGTGCCACTGCATTTCATCCTGAGTGACAGACTGAGACCTTCTCTCAAAAGAAATTTAAAAATTAAAAAATAAAATAAAAATCATATCTGTCTCTTTTTTCATTAAAATACATACACCCTATTATTACCTATAGGAAAAACGATAAGGTCCTTGGAATGGCATGCAATACTTTTGACGATCTGTGCAACCTCATCTTCTGCTACTTACCACCACAACTAATGCTACAGCTACAGAAAACAAATTTCCATTCTCAAAAGTGTTCCATGTTCTTTCTTTTTTTGTCTTTTTCTTTTTTCCTTTTTGTGGAGAACAGGGTCTCACTATATTGCTCAGGCAGGTCTCAAACTCCTGGGCTCAAGCTATCCTCCTGCCTCCACCTCCCTAAAGCTGGGAATACAGGTGTGAGCTGCTGCATCCGGTGTTCCATCACGTTCTTTCTCACCTACATGTCTCTGTCTACCTTTCCCTCTGCAAGTTCCTTCCCCACCCCAGCCCCAGCCTCCCAATTTCTGCATCAGTCATGAGTAAGCCTGCTTTAAGCTTAAGGACATAAGTATACAGTACCTAGTAACAGTGCCAGACATATAGCAGAGGGTTAAAAATGGGCAGAGCTGACTTAGGTCTTTTCTTCGTCCTCTCAATGACTTCTATTTGCTTATAAGATAAAACTGCAATTACTTCGATGGTCTACAAGACTATCCACAATTTGGTCTGCCTGTCTCCCCAGTTTCAGGTCTTGCCACCACTCTGTATTATATTTGCTATTTTTGTAGATGCTACTCTGTAATTTTAGACTCTCATGTTTTTTCTCACACTGCTCCTTCTACCTAAATGCCCGTTCTTTCTATGCCTGTACACTTGTTATTTACATCACCATCTATATATAGTTTTTCCTTACAGCTTCCCCCTTCTTCAGCTATCCTTTTCTTCATTTTAAGAAACCACTAACTCCTTAGAACATCCACTATACCCTCATCTGTTCTTCAATAAACACAATCTTGTACTTGTTGACAATTAAAGAGATAAGGTTCAACTACCCTAAAGGCAGGGACATTGCCTTATCTATCTTTAAGTCCTCTTCGCCTGGGCACAGTACTTTCTACATAGCAATTCCTGTATTCTACATAATCTGCATTTTTCCTTATTCCCTCTTACATATACTAAGTTTCTACAGGGATCTTCTTTCAAAACAGAAAGAGCATTCTTTTAGGTTACATTCTGGGCCCGATTTCTTCTTGCCAAGCAAACAACCATGTAACTATAACTTTACAAATTAAAGTTATTATACACTTTCTGATACCACTTTCCATTCTAAATTAGGGGAGAAATCCATATTTTGAAGAGACAGCAAACTAAGTTGTATTACATTGTTTCAAGTTACCTTGTTTAAAGAGTTACTTCTCAAAAGCTACTGTTAACTAACCTACCCCACTCATCTACCAGATGCTCTGAATGAAAAGTGGGAACCATTCTACTGACTTTCCTACCCTTACTACCACCACTCCAGCTTACAGTAATTATTCATTTTCAGAAAGACAGAAAGGAGTTAACAAATCACCAAAATAACTCTAAAAACAGAAAGTAATCTTTCTTATTCAGTCCCATTTATTCATTTAGAAGTGCTGTCTCTCTGAGCACCAAACCAAAACCTTATCACAAGTTCAATATTTCGTGAATAACTGCCAAGTATGATGGAATGCTCCCCAAAGTATTGCAGCATTAGAACATGACCACTCCACTAAGTCAAAAATTCAGCGAAAGCTTTTCTAACAAGGCTGGATGGTGCACTAACTAAACGCCAAACGCCTGCACTTCCTGTACATGCACGTTCAAAATACCTCGAAATAACATGCTAGGGATCTTGAAGAACTGTACTAGGCCTTGCTCAAGAGGAAGAAGGCTTTGTAATACTGAATCCTCAAAACTTGAAACAGCAGAATTACTTCAGGGAAGTCGGAGGTGTGAAATAATTCTGTAAAACCTGTTTCACTCTCACAACGATCAGTTTTCTAAAAAGAGAGAGAAAGCTGACCTCAATTAAGAGCATTTTGGCACAGACATGAGTTGTGAAAGAATTCTCAACTTCAGGTCCCTTCATTCCCAATGAAACCTGAAGGAGGGACCGCAGCACCCAAGGGCGCCCACTGCTCAGTGCCAGCGGAGAGCGACATCAGGAGCCTGTACTGGTTCGCTGGGGAAACCCCAAAGCCCGGCTACTATGCCGGGCACGACCGACCAGCCGTGAGGGCTGGATCCCCTCATCTCCGTCCAGGTTCCCCCAAGAGCTCCCCCGAGGCCTGGAGACTACGGGGGAGACTCAGCTACTAACTCTCCGCCCCCGGTCCCCGAGAGCACCACAAACGCGGACGCCGCGAAGGGAGGCCCTTCGGCCAGAGGGAGTGAAGAACGGCCAGGTGGGCGAGAACTGGGGCGAAGCCTTCCCGGGAGGAACCGACGCCGGGGGCAGCCACGCCCCCCACCCCCAACTTCAAACCGGAGCGCGGCGAGCGCCGAGCCCCACACGCTGCCTGACAGACGAGGGCGCGAGGCCGGCGCGGGAGAGGGCTCCTCGGGCACGCCAGGGACGTCGCCGCGACCCTCGCACGCGACAGCTCCCTATGACTAACCTGTACCTGCCGCCGCGCGACCGCCCGCCCCGCCGCAGCCGCCACCTCTTCGTGCTCACTCTGCCGCCGCAGCCACCGCAGCCGCCTCCTGCGCTGCGCCCCAGGCGGGCCTCGGGCGCCCCATTCCCACCCCGCCCAGCCTCCGCCTGTTTACAATGATTGGGACAGAACGAGACGAGCCGGTCCAGCGCGCAAGCGCACTCCCTCCTCCAGCCGCAGCCGGCTTCCCGGGTCCTCCTCTCCGCTCTGACGGCTGAAGCCGTCAAGGGCAGGCGCCCTATGCCCTCGCGCGGGGCGCGCTGGGAGGCGTAGTTCCTGCGACCCCGGCATCCAGTCAGCCCGAAGGCCTCTCGGCAAGGAAGCAAACTACAACACCCAGGAGGCATAGCGCCTCCTTCGTCCTGGGCTCGCTGAGCTGACAGACTGAGGGAGAGCGCGAGAGAACGCGCCGAGCGCTAGTGCTCTGCAGGCGCCTGCGCAGTCGCTGGCCTTGCAGGACCCCAGGACTGGCGCCTACCCTGGTGTGGTGCTGGCGAGGGTGATTTGCGGGCATCTGCTGCCACGGCCTTGAGGACAGAAAGAGCTTTCCTCTCCACGCTCTGGCCAGCCTGCGCCTCAGCTACTAAAGTTGAGAGCTTTATTTGTGCCAGCGTGCTTCAGTCGTTCCAACCAGTTAAACCAGCCTGGGGGCCGTCCGGCCTGCCGCTGGGTGGGGCGGCTGCCCCCGCCTTCGACTGGGTGTGGGATTGGAGGAAGGAGCGTCTTGGGCCTGTAGGGAGAGACGGGAATAAAGCTCGGTCGGGAGCATCCACAGAATTCCTGAAGCGGGTGTTGGCTCCTGTGGGGACTTGGAATAGACGGCCCTTCTCTGTCACTCGCATTCCTACGTGCAGGACTCTCTGGAACTTAGGTTGCCCATTAGATTGGCCGCTGCTATCCATCTTGCTCTCTTGCTCCCACACCAGCTTTCCTCAAAGCAGGCAGTAAATTTGTCCCTAATACTCTGTGCTCCCTACCCAGTAAAGTTCAACCCCAGGGGTCTTAACACAGGGGCCTCCCACCAGTGGATACGGGATGGTCTTTGACTTTCGGAAAAGCCTTCTCAGGGCCCCTCGCAGTAGAACAGTCTCCTCTGATCTCTGGGTTGGACGGGTAAGCATGGCAGTGATAATTTCCTGCCTGTGACGACACTGATTGGGCCGCAGTAGAGGAGTAGGGGGAGATTTTTACTGAGGCAATTGCTGATGGACTTGTTTCCTGCATCATCAAGTGGCCTACCCAAAGATGGGGGTGTGAAAGAGAAGAAATGAGAAATGGAAAGGGAGAAAGAGCTGGCAGAATGAAGACTGTGGTTTTATTTGGAGGCCATGGTTTTTGCAGCTCTTTAAGTGCTGTGAGCATGTGAGCCTGAGTAGGTGAGCCCATTCATTCATTCATTATTTGGAGCCAACATGTGTAGATATAGAATATATTTGTTGACTGCCTCTTGAGCATTTATTCCTCCCATTTTAGCCTCACAACCATTCCCTCTAGCAACAGAGATGGTCACAAACCCAATCAGAAACAATGAACCCACAAAGACTTGGGTCGGGGCTTCTAGTAAACTGTAGCTCCTTGCCTCTCTAGTATGGTGTAAGTATATGACGTCTAGAAATATGGCAACCGTTTTCCTCCAATGAGGGGAAACCCTAGAGAGATGAGAGTTCAGAGGGAAGGCAACAGTAGAGCCTGAGGTTGAAGTCAGTACTGTCAAATGAGTGCGGGAAAGATAGAGAAGAACCTTGTGTTTGGGGCGTGGTTTGAGCTGCAGTATCAAACCTCACCTGTTTGATTCTATGTACTATCCTATAGACTATTCGGGATTGTGAGCAAGGGCCATTTTACAGACTATCCAGAATTGTAAGCCACACATTTCCTGTGTTGTTTAAGCCGGTTCATATTAAAATTCTAAAAGTCCTAACTAATTCAGTTGGATTTCTTTCACATGACACTGAAAAGTCCTATTATAGGTTCCTACATAAAAAACTGTGGAAGGGACGTTCAGCTATGGCTGTGTGGCATAGTCAGCAATTCTCTGCACACAAAAATCAGTATTAAACTGGACAAAATTGGCAAAACAACCATTTCAGATCACTGGAAATCAGATACAGAAAACAATTTGAGAAGCATCTATTCTTGAAAAACTGCTAGAACTTCTAGCAGAAACAATAGACGTCTGTGGCCTTTGGGCCTGAGGCTGCTTCTCTCCCACCCTGTTGCACCAGAACTGCAGTTTTGCCAGAGTGGGTAGGACTAGCCAAGAAAACTAGCAGCTTTGCTGCTGAAGGGAAGGACTCAATTTGTGGTGGGAGGTAAAAAACCCAAGGCTTTTCCAACTAAAAGTGACAAACTTATATGGAAATGAACAAGGCAAACCCACAACTGTGCTTACCTGAGGTTACAGTCCTGGGTGGGGCAAATGGCAAGCCAGTCAAAAACATGTAACCGGGAGATTTTAGAAATAAGGGTCACTGAAGTGTTATGGTCACACCACTGCACTCCAGTATGTACTTTTCAACTGTAAAAATATCATTTATTCTTTTTTATATAGAGTCTACTTCCCCACAGAAATCCTCTATTTGTTAATTAAGTCTCCACATGTCTCTGACTGATTGGGAAATTATGCATCTGCCTGGGGTTGACCCAAGAGACCTGTGAAAAAGTGAAAGTGAAGGAAGACTTGAGAACTGGTGGCAACTGTGAATGTATTCCTCAATCCACACACAGATTGATTAGCAGAGGGAAGAAGACTCATAAACTCAAGGTGTTTGAGTACAACCACTGCCAAATCATTGACTGGCCACAGCTATACAGACACAGGGACAAAGCCCAGAAAGGCAGGGTAAAAATCAAAATGTTAATTTAAAAAACAGAGCAAAGATACCAGCAGCCACAGGCTATACAGAGACAGGTTTTAAATCTGTGTAAATCTAGGAAGATAAATTAAAAAAAGAAATAACACCAACAAAACTAAGAAAAATAAAACATCTAGAGTTGCTGCAATATATAAAATATCTACTTTTCAACCAGCAATTATGGTTCATGCCAATGTTCTGTTAAATGTCACCCACTCTGAGGAAGAAAATAGCAATCAGTAGAAACAGACCCATTGGGCTCAGATATTGGATTCAGACGCAAACTCTTGAAAGTAGCTCTTACAATTATGTTTTAAAAATTAAACATTTTTCAAAAAATTAAAGGAAAATATGAGAATTATTTAACATATAAAGGATATCAATAGGGAAATAGGTTCTATAAAAAAGAAATAAATGAAATTTTCTAGAGTTGAAAAATATAGTAAGAGAAATAGAAATTGTATTATATAATCTCTGATTTGAGATGGCAAAAAAAAAATAAGTATACTTCTAGAGAAACTATCCTATTCAAAAAACAGAGAAAAATCTGAAGCTAAGGAAGAGAAATAATGACATATCCATAAAAGAGAGGATATTTTTAGCAATAAGCTAGACTCAGGGACATAGACTATAGCTTTAAATAGAAAAAGGAAAAACAGGGAATGTAAATTAGTACAACCACTATGGAAAACAGTATGGAGTTTCCTTAAAGAACTAAAAATAAAAACTACCGTTCTATCTAGCAATCCCACTACTGGGTAACTATGCTAAGGAAAATAAGTCATTATAGGAAAAGCACATGCACATGAATGTTTATAGGAGCACAATTTGCAATTCAAAAGATGTAGAACCAACCTCAGTTCCCATCAACCAATGAGTGGGTAAAGAAAATGTGGCATATATACACCATGGAATGCTACTCAGCCATAAGAAGGAACAAAACAATGTCTTTTGCATCAACTTGGATGAAGCTAGAGGTCATTATTCTAAGTGAAGTAACTCAGGAATGGAAAACCAAATATCGTGTGTTCTCATTTATATGTGAGAGCTAAGCTATGAGAAAGCAAAGGCATAAGAATGATATAATGGACTTCGGGGACTTGGGGTGGGGCAGGGAAGAAGGTTGGGAGGAAGGTGAGGGATAAAAGACTACATATTGGGTACACTGCTTGGGATGCAGGTGCACAAAAATGTTAGAAATGACCACTAAAGAACTTATCCACATAACCAAAAACCACCTGTACTCCCAAAACTATTGAAATAAAATAAAAATTATTTAAAAAGAATACCTACATAAAGAAAGCATGCAAACAAACAAAAATCTTATAATTTTACCTGCATATACATAACCATTAATAATAGCTTGGTATATCTCTCAGCCTTTGGAGTGTGTATGTATATTTTTGAGCATAATGTTTTATTTCATTTGCTAAAACTAATGAAACCTAAATTTGGATTATCGAAACAAAAATCAACTGCAGAAAAGCCCAATTTTACTAGATTAAATATTGATAGGATCATTGCGGGGGGTGGATTGTGGGTTTTTTACTGTTTTGGGTTTTTTGTTTGTTTTGTTTTGCTATGTGATATTCAGGAACTATCACTTAATGAATTTGACAGATAAAGTCTGAACTTATATATTGGTAGGGAAATAAGCCAATGATTTGAATTACTTATCTATACAGAAGAAACAGTTTTAAGATTTAAGACCATATGAAATAAACTGGGCTAAACTAAAAAAGAAAGAATTAATAAGAGGAAGAGCATGGTAGCACTTTTTATATTAGAGATCATATGTAAATATCAGGTGTAAAATATTAAATTTTACCAGAGAATTGAGCAAATTTTACCAGAGAATGAAACAAATTATTACATAATAGAGAATCACAAACCAAAGTTAATAATATTTACCTAATAAAAAAAGCTCTGGTTGACAGTAAAAAATAATAAGAGAAGGCCAGGCGCGGTGGCTCAAGCCTGTAATCCCAGCACTTTGGGAGGCTGAGGCGGGTGGATCACGAGGTCAAGAGATCGAGACCATCCTGGTCAACATGGTGAAACCCCGTCT